GAAGCCTCAGTAAGCATGAGAGGCTTTGCAGAGAGCTGTAAGGCTGGTTAGTCTGCATGTGTCACTCATTCCTGTTACTCGGTGATTCGACTTGGCATTGTTGGTCAGCTAAGGAGCAGCAGCTCTTGATGTGGAAATCCAGAATGTTCTATGGATGTGCTTTTCCACTCAGTTATTATCATTTGAGAAAAAGGTGGAGAAAAAAGAACGGTAGTGCCAACTCCCAAAAATGCTGCGGTCATGACGTCTCCTGATGAAATACTGCATACTGTAGGTTTTCTATATGTGTGCAAAGCAGCCAATGAGTACCGCCTCTAAAACGCTAATACAAATAAATAAATAAATGCTAACATATTGTGTCATTAATTTTTCTGCTACAGTGGTGTCTGTGGTTCATGAACGCTGTGGTCTACGAACAATTTGGTTTGCAACCAAAAATTTAGTGAAAAAAATGCATCGGTTCACATACAATATTTGGTCGACGAACAGATTCTTCGACCAGATTCCTTTTTTTAAACTAGTGTAGCACCGGCGGGGCTCATATCCCAGCATGCCCCAGCATGTCCCAGCATGCCCCAGCATGTCCCAGCATGCCCCACCTGCCATTGTAAGTAGATGGACCACAACAGGCAACCAACGAGCACCAAACCCAAATACACAGACGGGAAACACAAGGTTGTCAGACGCCGAACTGCAAGATGCACACACCGTGGAAGATTTACACACGCTAAGTACACGTGAGGATTGGACCGGGTACACACAAGACACGGGCAAACACACACGCGACAATAGGGAAATGCATCCATTAACATTAACTATAACAATATAAAGGCTTTAAGGACTGTTAATAAAGAGCGTGATTTCCCCGGCAAGCAAGTCTCCATGTGTTATATTGTGTTTTTCTTTAAAGTTTTTATTATAAAAACAGAAAATTAATTAAAAATTATTATTTGGTAGGTTTGTGAATGAATTAATCAAAAGTCAGAGCTTTCTTATGGGAAAAATTGCCTTGGTTCACAACCACTTTCCTGGAACAGATCGTGTTTGTGAACCACAGGCACTGCTGTATTATAATTAATAAATTCATAACCAAAAAAGTAATTCATTATTTTTGGTGATCATTATCTTCAGTTTCCCAGGAAGGTGAGATGTTAATTTGGATACGAGGAGAAACACTGTCTGGATATGATGTGGTTTGGCATGAGCTGAGCTTAGATACGTGGTTCACCATCATTATGGTCATCAGCGCTAGTGCTGGCCGGCTTCGACACACCAGTGGTCTAACTTTAGTTGTTTCAAAACACCGACAAAAAAACATTAAGGTTCTGACAAAATTCCAGAATTGCAATACAAAGGTTGTGGCCTGGTTTGCACAAGATCCTGTGATAACTGAGGTTGATGTGATACTTAGCCTAGCTAAACTCAAAAT